TGAACATTTGCCTCTTTTATTCAATTAAACCACTATTTCCAGGCCACATTTGAAGGGAAGTTTGTTTATTTTAAAAAGAATCATTGTCAATAACGGATTTTTATCTGGAGGTAAATTAGATAAAATAATGGACAAATCATTCACTTCTATTTAGGGATTATAAGTTGCACTTCATTGTTTTTCTAAGCTTAGCAGCTGCATCACTTTTCAAATCATAAATGATGGACATAATCACCATGAGTTTTTCAGATGAAATTACTTGTAGTCCCCCTCTTTTTAAGTCAGGCATGTAGTGCATATATAATGCAAGTCATGGCTTGATTTTTTTTTTTTTTTTGCAGTGAATGGCCAAAGGTTATAGGGACAGCTACTTTAAAGACAGTCCTCATATTCTGTATGTTGAAAAAAATTTAAAGTATATTTCTAATAAAATGCCAAGTGGAGAACAAATATAATCCAAACTGTAAAATCAGGACAATCATGTTGATTTTCTGCATATTTTGCCACATAATCACTATTAAAAACATTTTTGAGGTAAAGAGAAGCATACAGGTTTTCTCACATAATCTTTTTTCTTAATCTACATCACATAGATTCATTCCTTGCATGCTGCAGCAGAAAATTGAAGGTTTGTGTTGTTATTACGCTGATACTTAAAACACTGAGGCATGCACAGTGCAAAGCATAAAGACTCAACACACATGAGGGACCTTTAGCTATATCACTGTAATCTCTCTGAGGGACAGAGTTTTATCTGAAACCACAAACCTCACACTCATGCTGAGCCCAGCTCATTCAGACAAGAAAGAAAAGTACATACTTCTAAAGTTCACTCTCTGAGACGAGGAGTAAATGGCAAAGTTTTTGTGTCTCTGAGGAGAAAGAACACCTGTGTGTCTTGTCACATGGCTACTCTCTGTTGGTCATTGGACAGAATGTAAGTTTGGGACGCTGCAGTTGCTCCACTTTTCTGGTCACAGTCTACAGTCAGCCTTCCATTGCTTTAGCGTAATGATGTCAGGCTCCAACATGAGCATGCTACTATTAGCTTTCAGCTTCTTATCAAAATATTGCTAAAAACAAAAAAGAATGTTACGCGACTTTCTAAATTTTAAAACCTTTAAAACACAGCTTTCTGACACAAACGATAAAATAAACCATCAGCTATCTTGGTGTGTTCAATTAAAATTAGACAGTGGAGCATTTAACATGGACCTTCTGTACCATCTCCATTTAGAATTTACTAGCATGTTGATTGGCTGTGTTAAACAGCAGCATTATTACATGCTAGCATTGAGCAAAGCAATAGACAAAGCAGACAGCTCACAATTCAAGTCCTGTGACAGAATGTCGACCTGTCCATGGAGTACACCCCACGGCTTTTAAGAGGAAGAGAATGGATGGATAGCAAGTTTTGGATAATTCAGAACTTTTGCACACCACTAGTCCAGAGCCTCTGAGATCCCCATCCACCCATCATCATGTTGGGCAAGTTACTTTGAAAAAGTAATTAATTATAGTTACTAGTTACTTCTTCAAAAAAGTAACTGAGTTACAATATTCTAAAAGTAATTAATTACTTGTAAAGTAACTATTGTGTTACTTAAAAAAAAACAAAAAACGTTTAAGCCTCTGGGGTCTAGGGTATACCGTAATTGTCGGGCTATAAGCCACTACTTTTTGCACCAGCTTTGAACCCTGCGGCTTTTAGTCAGGTGGAAAAGTGTGAAAACATCCACGATCTGGATGGGCTTGACTGCTGCATGATGGAGAGGAGGACACCGCCACGGCCCTTCTGAGGGTGTTCGACTCTGACACTGACAATGAGGATTTCTTTGGTTTTGAAAGTGACAACGAAGGAAAGAAGCCTAGAGTGGATGACGAAGCCATCCTGAACCTGTTCGTTTCCGACACCGGAGAGGAGGACTTTGGTGGTTTTAGTGCGCAGGAAGAAGATGGTGGTGAATGACTGACTTTTCTTCTTGTTAAAGCCGTGTCACTGCACCTGAGCCTAAAAGGTAGTCCGAATCTATTTTTCTGGTGTGCTGTAGGTTATTGTTATGTACTACATTTGTTACTCATTTATGAAGCACAGTACATGTTTCGTACTTGTAATTACCGCTACTTGTACATATACCTAAAAAGTTATGCAAATATGTACCCATAACTTGTTTTTCAAAATATTAATAAAAGGGGTGTGTCTCCAAACAGCCATCTCTTTCCTGACAATTCGCTTTGTGCATATTCTCTTACATATGATAAGTCAACATTGAAACACCTGCGGCTTTTAGTCAGGTGCGGCTAATGTATGTACAAAACAGGATTTTCCCCTGATTTTAGCTTGTGCGGCTAATATTCAGGTGCGCTTTGTAGTCCGGGAGATACGGTAATTGGCCATTTTTAACTACTTTTGATGTTTCCTCTACATTTTACCTTTAAAAACTATTTACTTTGCCTTGTTTGGTATCATCCTTTTCAGCACAACCTCACGTGTCTGAATTTACAGTTATGTTTTCATTTTGACATACTGTATTAACACAATTGATCTAAAATCAGACAAAAAACATAAAATCAGAGTAGAAAAAGTTATATTTTTTACTGTAACAACCACAAACATGTTTAATGAATCATATTTCATAACTTTAAATGCAAATATAAATTGTCAATTTTAAAATCCTATGCACAAGTTTTGCAAACAAAGTTATTTGCATCCATTTACCTTTTACCTTGATTTTTAAATAACCATTTCAAACTATTTACAGAACAATCAGCTGTTCTGCATTCAATAAGATGCCACACAAATTATTTGTGCCACTCCAAAAACATAATTTCTGTCCACTATAAAGGAGAACATCACAGCCTGATACCTGCAGGTCTGACAGCAGCAGGTGTATCACTCCTGTTTCTACCTGGAGACAGCAGTCGCCTCATTGTTCTGACACACAACACAAAACTATCCACAACACTACACACTAACTACACAAGACAACACATTAACTACACAAGACTTACTCATAACACGCTAACACGTCACAAATCTCTCACATCTCAAAACTCGCTCTCTCTCTTTTCTGCTGTCTCTCTCTCTCTCACTTCTAAAACTTCCCCTGTTTTTCTTTAAATTTGTTGCTCATAAGCAGAGAGATTTCTTGCTGCGCTGTCCTTAGACAGTAAACGTGGCGAAACTATTGAGGAAAAAAACGCTGCGTATATATTGTTTATCATGATTCTGGTTTTACGTTGCCTATCAACACAATTTATAAACTGGTAAATATCACCTTGTTGCTTTGTCATCTTGAAGTGGTCGTGTGATTGGCTTACCACGACTACTTTATTCTTCCTCAGTCAAACAGCAGCACTCATGCGATTGTTTTGCCCCCTTAGCTCCAGGTGTTGTGCCAAAAAGTGATCGTAATTACGTCTGCGGGAGCGCGCACAGCTGTTTAAAGCTGTAGCATCCAGATTACTTACAGCTACTTCCGTGCAACTGATATAAAATGCGGTAAGTTGAACAGAGCTTCAACCGTCTGTTTGTTGAAAAATAGTAACGGACCACGTTTTCTTGTTAGTAACTGTAACGGCGTTGTAACGATAGGAATAGTAATTAGTTAGATTACTCGTTACTGAAAAAAGTAACGGTGTTATTCCCATCACTGCCTATCATACATATGTGTTGCCATACAGCGGCCCCAACCAGGCAGTTGCAAAGAAGATTGGTATCTGCGGAAGCTTAAGGGGGAAGGCTGGCTACTTTATGCAGAAGAAAGCTTGCTAGATTGTCTGTTAATGATCTGCCAGGTCAGAGTAAGTGCAAGGTTCATCAACGGCAAAAAAAGAAAATGTCAAAAGGATATAATAGATGAAGAGAGAAAGAAGAAACACTGAGTGTAAAAGTAGGCGTCCTTTTCCGCAGCACAAATACAAACCAGAATAGCAGCTACTTGTTTTGTCTGCAACATCTGATGAAATCAAAAAACAATAAAGAAGAGTCACTGCTCACTTCTATTCATGCCATTTTCTTTCACTACAGATGCTTTTATGTCAAAGAGGGCAGTGTGTCCTTGCTGTTTGTGTTCACTTCCATCCTAGCTTATTATTTAGTTTCGATGATGACACATCAACAATCATTATTGCTGATAGCAAACAAGTAAAATGACAATAATTCTTCTTTCATAGGAAAACTGAAGAAAAAATATCATATAGAGCAAAAGCAGAACTCAGATAAAGAATGGGAGAGAAAACAGAGGCTTCTGTTCAAGCTGTTTTCTTTGCCACAGTTCCTCCCAGGCAAATTTACGTGTACTCACTCCTTTGCTTTTACTTTAAATGCCATTCTAAAGCTTTTAAATTTGCTATGATTAAAGTGTAAACTGTTTAACAATAATTCAAAGAAGTAATCACAGTATGGAGGAACCATCTCATGTTTATACTCTTTATATATAATGGCTAATATAACTTAATTTCACAAACTAGGTATACAGAAAGGAATTTGTAGATCACGGGACTTGAGAATCATGAATCCACAGAGAAATAACAGCCTAGAATTTAAATATGAAGTTGATGCTAAATACACATTTAGAAGTCCATGTCTCAAAAGTAAAATCCAAATTTCTGGTTGAGAAAAAAAACAAACCACTTTTAGTTTTAAACATTGTAAAAAAGTTGCCTATCAACAGGTTTTTGGATCTGCACAAATACTCCAACACCACTGTTTGCAGGAGGTCAGAGGTTCAAGAGAACATTTGCAAGACTGAATGCACTTCACCTTTAAAACACTGTAAAGAACAAAACACATTTGTAGAAAAGAAGCAAAATTTCATGAACACCTGACGAGGGCATGTTAATGTATTAGTGAAATATTTAAGATATTTGTTGTTTGATATTTTCACTTTTCATGTAAAAAGCTCAGTAGGAATATAAACTTTTGCATAATAAAGAAGAAACTCAAGGAGTATTTTATGCTTATAAGCATAGTGACGGATTACATGGGTGAGCCTTACTTGACAGGCTGCCAGGTTTCCTTCTGGAAGCTGCGGTGGATTGATTGAGCAATGGCCAACTCCATTAGATCAATGTATCGTACCACCAGTGGGATGTACAGGTCTTGGAGGTGTTTGTGGAACATCCCATTGCACAAGTGAGCTGTTTGGGGGGGGGAATGAGAAAAATGTTATAACTATGTGGACTTTCTGTTCACATTAACAGTCATTAGATGGATTGAGCCCGCAAAGTCTCATTTCAAACTTCAAAATAGTTTTTAGCTTTTTAGCAGGTTTCCAGTCCTCACGACTGAAAATGTGCTCTTCTGGATTAAAGTAAGGAATAAGACCAAACAGAAATGATTAAAGCTTATTCAGTAGTCAAATACAAGTTTTCTGGGATAAAAACAAACAAATAAACATTAAAAAATCCACAAAAATTTAAGCTAAGACTGAGTATTTATTTTGTTTATGGTTGAGATTATTACTTCAGATATAAGAAACGTGATGGATTTTACTTCTGATATTGTTCTCTCTCACACACAGTACGCTACTATTTTTCATTCTTGCCCTTTATTAACTTCGCTTAAATTTCAGTGTAAGCTTTAGCGACACCTAAATTACTACTTGTTTAAAAGTGTAGAACTTATTACGCAACCATTGTAATATGACAAATCCATTCATGCATTGCTTTTCTGGTGTTACAGCAGCCACATCCAGTCTTCATATGGAGACTGGGAGAGCTGTTGGCATTGGGATATTTTAGCCAACAGTGTGGCTCCAACTTTACATTAAGAGTTTTTGTTTTCTTATGTGACATTTCCTAATTGGACAAGCTGATACAGACATTTTACCCAAATTAATATCTATTTGATAAATTCTAAAAGTTTAAATTAAAAAGCTTCACTAAATTCAAATGTATACTCTAGAAGGTCTACACGTCTTTTATCAAATGTCATTGTGTCCACAGGTGTTCCTATTATCACTCCATTATCCCCCATTCAAACTGTAATGGTGGGTTTTGGAAAGACAGATAAATCCCTGCAGACAGTCGACAGTCCACAGTGAGGAGAGACAAAGATAAGGTGTTGGTGAGAAGCAAGCAAGCTGGTCTCCCAGGACTTCATTAGTTTTAATTCCTCTCACTCTGCTCCATCATGATGAACACTAGCCTTTTTGCCCACTAGAGAGTAGAATCCACCTCCCTCACGAAAGCTTGTCACATATGACAATCAAGTGAGCATTTAAATAATCTGCAACCGAGAGATAATACACACGCTGAAGAAAATACTTAGAAATCAGCCGACCAGTGAGTATTGCAGAGGATTTGTTGTCCAAAAAAACAATGATGTGAATGATTAAAAGCAATGACTGTACATATTATATTTTTGTGAAGCTTTGAGAAAGCGATTCATAAATAAACACTCTTGTCCATCAAATCGTTTTTTCCCACTTTTGTTTGTGAGTTTTCAGTGATTGGGACTAAAACTAATCAAACCAATCTCTTACCTCTCACTTCAAGCATAATTATCAGAAGGAAGACCTCATTTGTGCAAACAGTGAAAACTATGATTTCGCTCATACTCTGTTTCATCTTTTTCTATTGCCTCGTTACACTCCAAATCAAGTTGGCTAATGTTGTGACACTTGGAATAATTATGGTACAAACAGAAGACGGTAATTAGAAAGAATGCAAGATATGAGCCACAGAAAAGAGATTTGTGGTTTCTATGCATAATGAAACACTGAGTCTTTATTCTCAACACCGCCCTTGGGCTGTCTATCTGCCTGCCTGTCTGTTACTGTATTTGAGGTATTTTGGCATCCACCATGTTAAATATTGCATCTTGCCAAATCTCTGCTGGCTTGAAGACAAAGCCCCACAGCTGAGGGAGGGTTTGAAAGGAGAAACACAATGAGCCAATTAGATTTTTTCTCCAGCAGTCAAATGAAATATTTACAGTGAAATAAAGTTTATCAAGGAAGAGAATTCAATATTTACAGTGAAGTGCAGTTCATTGCGGTAGAAAATGTTAACAAAATCTCAGGAATAAAAGTGCAACATTTATATTTGTCATAATTTGAATTCTCCAGGTTCCCCTTTTAGGGAGTTTTCTTTTTCCATTGTTGGGACTTTGACATGAAACCTACATTCACATAACTTGGGTATTAATAAACTGCCCATTAGCTGCAACGTATTCTTTAGGAATCTTGACAAAGCAAAAAAATTAGAAAGTATTATTAAACTGGATCTGTTCCTCTCATGTCTTGCTCTACTTGTTTGCCCTTAGACGGTGCTAGAGTAGCTTTGCACCAGTCACAGTGCAAAACAACCCTTATTTAACATGCAGAACTAAGTTTGTTGTGAAGAGGGAACTAAGTGTCAATATGAAAACAGCAAATGAAGTATAACAGAGAAGCATCATGCTTTGTTGGTTGCTTTAGATAAATTTACCAATGATTACTAGGTGCTGCTCACACATTCTATCTGCCACCACCACTACTTTTGGAACTTGTTGAAATGTGGGCTGGTTCCCTTAGTGTACCAAGGCAGAACAGCAGGGCCGTGCAGAGAGGTTTAAAGGGGCGGGTGCTCAAAGTTAAAAAGGGGCACATTGAACCAGGCTGAATAACAACAACACACATTCATCAAGAATCTAATATGGGCAACAAGGCAAAGCAAACGTAGCCGATGTTTTATGTGGCATGTTGCTTTGAGGGGTTGCTGCTGATAGTGCTGGAGGGCAGGGCTGTGTTGATCTGAGACTGTAGACATTAAAAAGTCCACTAGGAGAGATGGTAGCTGATTAAACAAGTGTCATGAGATAATAACAAAATGCAAAGATTGGTGACAGCGCTTGGAACCATAAGGCAACAAAAAACTGTGAGAAATAATTAGGCTCTGCCTGTGAATTCACTCTTTGCTTCTCTTCTTCCTTCCATCCCATCATTTCATATATCACTCTCCACTTGCTGTCTATCTGAGAACAAGGCACAACTTGCTATTGCAATAAACTATAATCTAATTATCCACACCTAACAACTCTTCAGCACTTAATCTATAATAAAATGATGACAGAAAAATGTTATAGCACTGCCTTTAGTAGCCTCACACAGCTCCTGCTGTTTCCTCCTCATGTCCTTACCAGGCATGTCTGGACAATGTTATATCATGAGTAATATTTTTTTTTAAAATCCATCTAAATAAAACACACACACAGCACACACAGTGACATTTTAGACCTTCTTCAGAATACTGTATATACTATGGGCATCATGGTGCTGATCCAGAATCCTTACATTATTATTTATTACTAGAGCTACAATAATAAAGCAATGAGGAGGGGGAAGTAATAAATATGAAATAATGTATTTATGATGATTCCATTTGTTTCACTATCCACTCTGTGCAGGGCAAAGCTTATTACATGTTTAAACTGTAGAGATACAATCATTTTACTGCTGTAAAATCCAATTTTGTCTTATTTAAAATATAAATCTAATATAATCTGCTTCTTAATGTATGTTCTTTAAAATACAGCGTGTGTTTTTTAATATATTATAATTATAATAATGCATAATTATGTGGACATGCATATTAGATCGTTTTTTAGTGAAATATAATCCCTCCAGAAAGGCAGGAAAAGCCCGGAAACTTACTTTAAAACTAAATATGTTCCCTAAAACGGTGACAGAGCTACAGACCCATGACAGCCTACACAGGTAGCCAGCAGCTATGACCAGCACTACTTGTGCAGTTAATAAAAGGACAGGTAATGTTTGTCGCGCTGTTGCACACACAGCACGCTCGTTTGTTTCAGTTCGTCAGTTGCAACAAGACAGCTTACCAACGTGTACGTAATAAGCTAATACTCCTGTGTGCTAACACTACAGTGTACGCTGTACACCTACTTACTGGTTTTGTCGCATCAGTCTGTGTCTCTGAGTTAACTTGTGTTTCTCCTACAGCTCCGGACCGCTAAAAATGCGCGTGCTCTTTGTGAGCTCGTTCCCGGCTCGTAACCAGCGCGTTCTGCCGTCAAGGGCGATCATTGGTTAAATGTGATCATGTGACTGATGCAAGCCAGATCCTTTTATTTAGCAAAACTGTGATTAATAGTTAAATATTATTGTTGAGGGGCACAGACAGGACTCCGCACGCACACACACATTAAAACATTTTTTTTTTTTTTAAAAGTTGCCTCAACAAAAGGGCACTTTGGGCACCCATCAGGAAAGGGGCGGGTGCTCAAGCCCCTCTAGCCCCCCCCTCTGCACGTGCCTGCAGAACAGGTCTCGCGGCAGCACTGCTTGGTGGAAAACAGGCATTTGACATCATTTCCTGTAATTAGCTTTAGCAATCAGCTCAAAGTAGTCCTGAGCTTTAGAGAAGGCCTTAAAAAATGTGTTCAGAAAAACCAAGACCTACGGTCTGTTCGTAGAAAATTGTTGAAGAGCTGAAATAGTGGGAAGCTATTCCAGGAATCGATCGACTGGACCTGAAGAGCTGCCTCCATGTCGGCTCTGTACAGAGACAGAAACTTCTCAGCATGTTCAGCCATCAATTCTGGCCAACATGAAAAAGCCTGGAACAGATGCAGATGAAACGAAATTATATCAGAAAAACAGATAATGCAATCACAGAGTGTTCCTTTGGTTTTAATACATTGATTTCTGCTCATTTTAGATCAGTTCTTTGTGTCTCTACTCATTCCCAGTAGTATAATAGTGAACCCTGTGACTAGTATTACTAGTGTTACTAGTATCTCTAATTTTGACCTTGGGACTTCCAGGCCAAATTCGGCACAGATGTTTCTATATACTATGCCGGCCACTTGGTTATGGCGTTCCATGTATGCCCGAGCAAGTAGTCGGTCGTGGTCATCTTCCTCATGCACTCGTAGATATTCATCGTCTCATCCTGGACTGTGATACTACAACTCAATAGTGTCGGGCCTCCTTCTGCTTAGTGTACAGTCTCAGGATACTTGGTGGTTGCAGCTTTCATAGCAGCCTCTTCC